GAGCTCAGTGCTGCTGTTGCTCCGTGCCCCTCCCACTGGCTATTCGGACATGTGTGTGCATGTGTGCACGTGTGTGCGCATGTGTGTGTGTGGTGTATATGTGCATGTGTGTGCTACATTTGCATACTCACGTTTACACGTGTGTAAGCCAGACATTAGGTAGCTCCCCGCTTCTTTTTTGAAACAGGGCTTCTCATCAGACTAAGAGCATGCCATGTCCACTAGACCGGCTTGTCAGTGAGCCCTGGGATCCTCTGTCTCTGTCCCCAGTGTTGGGGTACAGAGTGCTGCTGTGCCTGGTTTTTATGTGGGTGCCAGGGATCCGAACTCAGGTCCTCATGCTCGTACAGCAGGTATTTTACCCACTGAGCCTTCTCCCCAGCCAACAGATGCCACTGCTACTTTAAACATATAGAATGACCCTCTAGCCTTTTCTTCCAAGGACCTGTGTGTGTGTGTGCGCGCCTCCTCTGTATGTGTGTGTGTGTGCGCATCTCCTCTGTGTGTGTGTGTGTGTGTGCGTGTGTGTGCCTCCTCCGTATGTATGTGTGTGTGCGTGCCTCCTCCGTATGTGTGTGTGTGCGCGTCTCCTCTGTGTGTGTGTGTGTGTGTGTGTGTGTGTGTGTGTGTGTGTGTGTGTGTGTGTGTGTGCCTCCTCCGTTCTCCCATCCCGCCCTCATCCACTTGCTTAGACCCTCCTTGACTGGACGGGCAGCTGCTGTGTGTCTGTGCCTCTCCTGTGCCTGGCATGGGGCTTACGGCCTGGGTGAAGAAAGGGAAGGCTTCTCAAGCCGAATGGGCTCTCTGTCCCTCCCAGCCAAGCCTATTCTACACCACTGAGTCCGGGTTGTGATTTGTTAGGTGCGTGGCTCCCTTGTCTCCCTGGGTCTCTGGCATCCAGCCCAGCAGAGTCTGGGGTGTTCGCCGTGAGAGTGTTGGCTATGGGCGTGCTCAACACACTCAGCAAGACTCTGGCTGGCAGGCTCTCTCTCCGACTCTCATCTTTTTCTCCTCTATCATGAAGAGGCGGTCGGATGGCGATGATTTCTAAGGTCCTTTCAGGAACCAGCAAGTCCCATTCGCCATACACTTGCTGCCCTCTGCTGGCCGGCTCAGCTCAGGACCTTTGTGTCCCTGGGATGCCAGAACAAATAGGGATGAGTCCAGTTGCCTGGCCTAGATTTAACTTAGATGAAGGGTGAGTTTGGTGAGTTTCTCTTAGCCTCGGTTGACTACTCTTCCTGTGTGGGGGGCGCATGAGGATCCAGGACAGCTCTGGAAAACCCCACCACAAACCATCAAATCCCCAGAGAGTAGACCGATAACACTGGGCCGGGGTGATGCTCACAGACACGCTTGAGTCAAAGCTTAGGGGCAGCAAAAGCCCTGCAGAGGCAAACAGATGGAGGGGCTAGCTTTGTAACGGAGGTGGCGGCTTTATAGTGAAGGTGTCATCTTTATAATGGAGGTGTTGCTTAGCCTGCCTAGTGGGCTTGTCCTTGTTTGACAAATCCTGACAGTTTATAATCCACACAAGTTTATCTGGGAACCAGCGCCATTTACCCATCAGAGACACAGCTCCTAGATATCCCCCCCCCTCTCTCTCTCACAGACACACACACACACACACACACACACAGAGTTCTATACTACACTATACTACACAGCTCTGCACCGTGGTGATGTAAACCCCATGTCCCTCCCTTCCTCTCCTGTCTTCTTCCATCCCCCCTTTCTTCCTTCCTTTCACATTTTTTCACTTGTTAGGACTCCTGCGGTTCCAGATAGCAGGGTTAAAACCGCCACTGACTTTGTCCACAGGCAGCAGACAGGACCTGGAACCATACGGGGCACCGGAAAAGGTCTCCATCCTTCGCCCCTGCTTCTCTCTTCGTATGCAATTGGTTTCTTTCATGCTTCGTGCTCACTAATCCGTGGAGTAGAAGGTGGCCACCAACAGCTCACAACGTCCCCTCTCTCAACCTCTGGCTCCTTCTCCTTTGCCCCAATCCAGATTTCTATACTGGTCCCCTTGGACCAGCTAACCACATCCTGCAGAGCCAGCTATACAGTCTGTGAGGCCTAAAGCAAAATGCAAACTTGGGACTCCTTACTCAAAGGCAGGAGGAAGTGCCAACCAGGCAGGCGCAACACGGCTTCCTTTCCTCCGTGCTCACTTGCTGGATGTGTTAGGGTGCCGTTCCATCTCTACTCAGTGCTATTCTTAGTAAAGGAGAAAACACCTCAATTTCCAATTATTTACTGGATTCCTCCACCGGTCTCCATGGAGTCACACGCAGGACCACTGAAATGACACAACTCGTGTTCTGTGAACCCGGTGGCCAGAGGACACAAACACAAAGAGAACCCCCGGAGATAGGAAGCTGGAGAGAGATTGTTCCCAGAACCCCAAGCTCCTCAGGCCTAGGCTGCCCCGAGGGAGTCCAGACCTTCACGGGCACCCTGGGCCCGAGTCCCAAACCTGGCTGGGAGTGGGAAAGTTGGGTCCGGTGTCTCCCCTTTCCACAGCCCACAGCAGCCTCGAATCTCTGCGCCCTTTGGCCAACCCCACCACATATTCCATGCTCTTCCAGCTTGAAGCGAAGATGGCCGCCATGGTCACCCTAAAATGCTGCAACATATGTGAGCCCCATTCACACCCCCTCTGTGTCTGTGTGCAGACAAGACAGAGACAGCAACGGAGCACTCATCTGGGGGAGGCAACCCAGGGGCCAGGGAGTGGCCATCCAAGTTCTAGAACACCCACCCCAGTTCTATCCAGCTCTGCCTCAGAGCACAAACCTAACAGTGGAGCTATTAGCATCGTCACAGAGCGTACGCACGTGCGCCCACGCAGACGCAGACACACATACACACACACACTCGGCTGAGTGTGGAGATGTAGTGCGAAGCCAAGTAAGAGCCTCAGACAGAAACAGTGCCCCAAGCAGAGGTTGGAAAGGGCTGGGGAAAAAAATCAAGCGACAGTCGACATTTTATATTGAAAGTACACATACCTCCCTTGCCTTCCGAACACAGGAACATTCACAGACATACACGTGCTGCAGCCTGACTCTTGATGGCCCAGCCGCCCCAGCTGTGTTCGGTTTAGGGGCTGAACCATCACAGATCAACTAAATCATTTATTATGGACTTCGAGACTCCAGGTGCCCTGACCCTGACTCCTCTCCCATCACTAACTTTTCTGCGGTGATGGCAATTTCCCAGGGAACACCACTGTGGCTCCGGTATGCTCACGGGGGACAAGCGGTGCCCCACCTAGCGGTATGACCTTGTGGCCACTCCTGGCTGTGTGAGCCTCTTTCCTCCAGGTAGAGGGAAGCCACCTGGGGCTGGTCTGTGGAGAGTGACAGCTGCAGGATAGACTCCCCCAGATTAGGGATTCTGCTGGGATGGCTGTGGGTGACTCACCAAACGCTGCGAGGCTGTCAGCCACTACATTTCCTTCCTCGCTGCAATGACAGGGTCCCTGACAGAAACCACACGCAGCAAAGGAAAAGACCACTTTGACTCACTGTTGCCGAGAGTTCACTCTGTCACCGTGGTGGTGACACCCACAGTGGAGTGGCAGGAGCTGTGGTTTGCTCATAGTAAGGACTGGGAAAACAGACCAGGACCTGGGTTCTAACGCTTCAAGGCGTGCCTCTAATTACCTACTTAATTAAGCAGCCCCGCCCCGCCTCCTATAGGCTCCTGACCTCTCTAAATAAAGCCACCATCTGAAGAAACAAGCCTTCAAAACATGAGCCGTGGGAGCATCTCACAGACAGACAGTGACCCCCCGCCAAGCGGAAAAATCCCCGCCCCTCCCCAGGGAGTGCCGTGGCAGGCTGGGAGTGCTTGGGTTAGACCCCGCCCCCACGCATGGGGTTCTCACAACCTGCTGACTGTACACACACCAATCTGTACCTGCTCCTAACCAGATGTTAGGAACCGTGGCATCTGCACTCCCAAAATTCAGCCAGTCTCTTCCAACTTCTAACCTGATGTGTGAGAATATTACTATTTCACATTTTCTTTTCATCATGACTCCTGCTCCTTCTCTTGGGTTCTACCTTTTCATACCCTTTGACAGCTTTTCGTCTGAGCTGTCTCTTCCTCGCTGTTATATAATAGCTTTGGGGGATTTTGTTAACTGTTCGTCCTCGCTAACTGTTGCAAGCTCTTATTCTTTGTTATCTCTCTCTGTGTCTCTTAGCTTTAGTGCCACACCAATTACTGTGCAGGTGACAGCCACTCTGAGCCTCGGCTTCCTCATTTAAAGAGGAAACAGCTGCCACCTTGGTTTGCTGGGAGGATTAAACAAGTGTGCGGGCTTCCCATACTTAGCCTGCTCTCAGCTCCCAATAAATGTGACTGTCACTATTTTAGAGTCTGCCTTCGCTGCTTTCCCTGGTGCTGTGATAAAAATACTGACAAAACCTAAGGGGAAAATGGTTTGTTTTAGCTTACAGTTTCAGGTTGCAGCCCCATCATGGTGGAGAAGGCATCGCATCAGGAGCTCACAGCAGCCAGGGCCACGGGTTCACAGTCAGAAGAGAGCAGTGCATGTCTGCGTGCCCGGGCTCACTTGCCCGGGATACACAGCCAGAATCCCCTGCCTAGGGAATGGTGTCACCCACAGTGGGTGGGTCTTATCCCCTCAGTTAACCCTGTCAAGATTATATACACTACAAGTCCATCTCCCAGATGACTCTCCCTTCTGTTAAGAGGACAACACAACCATCACACACATCTCTCCACTTTACGCCCAGAGATCCCCAGGTCCCCAGGTTGCTCTTCGTCATCTTTGTTAATGAAACGGAGCAAGCGGAGCATGGGGGGAGGGGCTACCTACCGAGAGGCCATCTGGATGGAATCTGCTTTCCATCTTGCGGGACTTTCCCAGAAGTGTTTGCTGAAGTTGGAGCAAGAGCTCACGAAGAAAGACCAAGAGCTTGAGTCCTTCTAACACGACCTCCCTTTTCTCCCTGTCTCAGCCAGCCCCTGGGTACTGCAGCCTACAGGAAGACCTGCCCTATCTGGACATGGTGATCGCAGAAACCCTGAGGATGTACCCACCAGCTTTCAGGTATGCCCACGGCCCCTTGAACATCACTGTTTGAGGCCTTTACTGATCCTCAGTCTGCGGCCACCTGTCATAGCATGTATTCCTGAAGGGTTCCTGGGTTTCCCTGTGTCCCCTGGAGCACCAGGCACAAGTCTGAAAAGTCTGGTTCATTCTCCTGTAGGTTAGCTACCTTTACCAAACATCACTAGCCTTCCCTACTCGGCCCAACCCTGTCTCCTTGGCCCCTTAGCTTTCGATGGAGTCTCCCATCACCCCTGCCCACTGATTCATTCATCCAGCCGTCATTCATTCACCACCTATATATTCAAAGGCTTCCTTGTTGCTCTTCTGATGCTGGCAAAAAGACCCAAGTCTATGGCCCTGCCATGGCTTTCTTAGAAGCCACAAGTGACCTGATGTCCAATCCTGTTTTCTTCTTCATGATTTATATCCGGCTTTCCTCCCAATGGACTTAGCACTGCAAAGTACAAATTCCAAATGAAACTCAAAACTAAACATTCAGTAGTAAAAGAGAACGAGGCTACTTTAAGGACCACCTCCAAGTCCCGGGAATGGGTGGTAATGGGGGTCGAGTCTTCCCATAGCTGCTGAGATTCCTGGGAAAGAGGGAACTGGCTGAGCTGAACAACTGTATCTCCCCAGAAGGAAGAAATTACGTAAATTGGCCAAAATTACATCACTTCAGCTGTGGTGCATGCCTTTAATTCCAGCACTCAGAAGATACAACTCTGTGACTTCCAAGGCAGCTAGGACAGCATAATTGAGGCCTTAGCTCATATATATAGGTTTTTCGAGACAGGTTTCTCTGTATTGCTTTGGAGGCTGTCCTGGAACTCACTCTGTAGACCAGGCTGGCCTCGAACTCACAGAGATCCGCCTGCCTCTGCCTCCCGAGTGCTGGGATTAAAAGCGTGTGCCACCAATGCCCGGCTCTTTTTTTTTTTTAAAGGGAAGAAATCGTTTCTTAGATCTAAACCTAATCAAGAATTCATCTCGTGGCCAGACAAGGTGGGGCACACCTATAATCCTAGGTAGCATTTGAGCAGCTGAGGCAGAAGATGATGACTCGCAGGCCCACTTGAGCTACATACAGAGATCTTACATTTTTGATTGTGAGCCTAGCCTTTAATGGCTGAGCCATCTCTCTAGCCCACAAAGATCCGATCTCAAAAAATTAAAAAAAAATCCTCCCCTGAGATCGCATCTAGGTAACACAATAAAAGAGTAAATAAACAGACTCTAAAATAAAACCCAGGTGGACAGACACTTCAACATGTGGACAGGTTCTAGAGCCTCCGAATGACCACTGTAAACAGTTAATGGGTGCAGGCATTGTTTTGGGCATCTAGTACCTGGGCTGTCTAGCATAGGACAGCATGAGCCCTGGCCCTGGTCTGGGAGATGATCTTGGTTGGTATATTCTGCTCTGGGCTTCTCTCTTCACATGGCAAGTGCTCTTAATTCTTTTTATGAGCAATATACCACCGCACTTTGTCTGATAACTATTTCCTCTAAAGCATTTGGGGATGCTTACGTCTATCTCTTGCCAGCATCATATTGTCTTCAGTGTATGTGTGTGTTCGTGGGAGCTGCTCATGCGCAGGTGTGCAAGCCATGTGTGCAGACTGGACAATCACAGCTGGTACCGTCAGGGAGGCCATCCCTCACCGTTGAGAAATTGTCTCTATCTGGCTTGAAGTTCATCAATACGGCTAACTCCTGGCCAGTGATTCCCCAGGGATCTCACGTCTGCTTTCCCAGGGGTGGGATTACACGCCTACCACACACCCATTATCAAACTCAGGTGTGCATGCTGGCAAGGCACACCCTTTACCAACTGAGCAGTGCCCAAGACCCAGGATTATTTAAACATTTATAGTAATTATAAAAGTAATGTGCTTCTACTTAAAAACAAAACAAACCTTAAAGATAGAAGGAGCCAAAGAAAATGGACTTCCAGCCCTGCCCAGTGACACTGTGAGAGACCAGTGTAGGTTAGGCATTGTGTTAGTCGGTTGCCCATCACTACACCGACTCATGATTTCTGGGGCTTCATCCAAGGCTACCATGCTCCATCGTGTTCAGGCCTGTGGCATGAAGCGCATGGTGGTAAAAGACTACTCACTTCGTGAAAGCCAAGAGCAGAAATGGAAAAGAGAAAGAAAAGAAGAATACAGAGGGGGAGAAGAAAAGGGAGCGGGAGGAGCGGGAGAGATAGAAAAAGGGAAAGGGAGAGAGAAAAGACAGAGGGAGAGAGAGAGAGAAGAGGGAGAGGAACAAAAGGGAAATAAGGAACTGGGGACAAACAGATCCTTCTATAGCAGGTCCCCAACCTGCATCTTCTAGTTTGGCCCCAAACCCTAGTTTCCACTGTTTCCCAATAATGCCCACCAAATTATGAATTCCACCAATTGATTAAGTCGGATGACTTCCCCCAAAGACTCGACTGTGAACAGTGCATTGGGAACCAGGCTTTAAACATGGGAGCCATTCAGAGGAACACTTACTAGATGCTGTGTCCTCTACCTGAGCAGATTAATACATTTCCTGGTTCATGGTATGCAGCTAATAAATGCCTTTTTCTTGGTACCTGTCCATAAGGACTACCAGAAGCAATTGGCTGTCAGTTGGCAAGGCCAGCAGTCAGCCTCAGGGATACATTAACTCTCCTGCCTTGTGTCATAGCCTATAAGGGACCTTGATCATCTGTCTCTTCTGTAAAACATCACGCTGTAGCACCATATTGATGGCATTATGCTGATTGGACCACCTGAGCAGGAGGTAGCAACCGTTTTGAACTCAATTGGTAACACATATGCATATCAGAGAACGGGAAATAAATGCAACCAAAATTCAAGGATCTTGTACGTCAGTGAAACTCTTAGGACTTCAATGGTGTGGGGCATGCGGAGACATTTATCTAAGGTGAAGGATAAGTTATTGAACTGGATGCTCCCACTGCCAAGAAAGAGGCACATTTAGTGATTGGATTCTGGACACAGCACATTCCTCGCCTGGGTGTGTCGCTCTGCCCCATGTACCAAGCAGGGCCTGTAACAGCAGAAGGCTCTTCAAGAGGTCCAGGCTGCTTCTACCGTTTGGGCCATATGATCCAACAGACTCTGTGGTACTTGAGGATGCAGTGGCAGATAGATGCTGTTTGGAGCCTTTAGCAGGCCCCTGTGGTGATATATTATTTATGATTTATTAAAGCTTCAAGCTGAAGATCAGAAAAGCAAAGCAGCTGGTCACTAGCTCTTACTCTACCTCAGAATGACAGTCAGTCCTGGTTCCACCAAACCCCAAACTGAAGCCTCTCCTCAGCATGACTGGAGAATCCTGAGACTTCATTGTCCTCCTATCTCCAGTGTGGCTGGAGAATGAATGCCTCATAGTGACCACTGAAGACCCTGCTCCTATCTCTTATACCCCTCTAGTGCTGGGATTAAAGGCGTGTGGTCCCAGGTGCTGCGATCCAATTTGTGTGAGCTGTTTCTCTTTAGTATTGGATCAATCTTGTGTAGATCTGGATGACCTTGGACTCAGAGAGATCCGTCTACCTCTTAATCCTGAGTCCTAGGATTAAAGGTGTATACTACCACTTCCTAGCTGGGATAAGACAGTTTTTGGCCTGCTCTTAGACTTTAGTGGAAACTGAATGTTTGACAACGGGCCACCAAGTTGCCATAAAACATGAATTAGCTATCATGAACTGGGTGTTATCAGACCCACCAAGTCATAACGTAGGATGTGCACAGCAGCAATCTGTTATCCAATGTGTGAGACCAGGTCCAAGCAGGTCCTAAAGGCACAAGCAAGTTACATAAAGAAGTCGCCAAAATGCCTGCTATGGTTTCTACTCCTGTCACAATACCTTCTGCTGCTGAGCATGCACCTATAGCCTCGTGGAGTGTGAAGAGGGGACTGGGGCCTGGTTTCCCGATGGTTCTGTATGTTACACCAGCACCACCGGAAGCGGAAGCTGCAGCATTACAACCCCTTTCTGGGACAACCCTGAAAGATACTGGCGAAGGGAACTCTTCACAGTGGGCAGAACTCTGGGCAGTACACAGGTGTTAGTTTGTTTGGAAGGAGAAATGGCCAGATGTGATTGTTCAATGATTCATGGGCCGTAGCCAGTGGACTAGCTGGATGATCAGGGACTTGGAAAGAACATGGCTGAAAAATTAGTGAGAAAGACATCTGGGGAAGAAGTGTGTGGATAGATCTCTCCAAAAGGGTGAAGGAGGTGAAGACGCTTGTGTCCCACGTAAATGGTCACCAAAAGGTGACTTTAGCTGAGGAGGAATTCAATAATCAAGTAGATAAGATGGCCCATTCCTGTGGACACTCGCCCATTCCTGCCATTGCCCAATGGATCCATGAACAAAATAGCCCCGGGGGGCAGAGATCGTGGTTATGCATGGGCTCACAACCTGGACTTCCACTCACCAAGGCTGACCTGGCTACAGCTGCTGCTGAGTGCCAGATCTTCCAACAGCAAAGACCAATACTGAGTCCCAGACATGGCACCATTCCTCGGGGTGACCAGCCAGCAACCTGGTGGCAGGTTGACTACACTGGACCACTTCCTCCATGGAAAGGACAACGCTTTGTCCTTATTCTTATTCTGGTTATAGATTTGTCTTTTTTGCATGCAATGCTTCTGCGAAAACTGCCATCCATGGTCTTGCAGAATGCCTGATCCACCAACATAGTACCTTTAAACCAACAGGCTAGGAAAGGAATAGCAGTGTTAGGAGCGATATACCAAGATGACCATGGGGAAACTAGAATGCCTCTCCTCAATGGAGGTGAGGATTATGTCTGGAGTACGGGAGATCCTTTAGGGTGTCTCTTGGTGCCATTGAGCCCTGTGACTAAAGTCAATGGGAAACTACAACAGCCTAACCCAGGCAGGATGACAAAGGACCCTTCAGGAATGGAGGTACGGGCCACTCCTCCAGAAAGATCCAAGACCTGCTGAGGTGCTTGCAGAGGGGGGAGGAAATAGAGAATGGATAGTGGAGGAAGGTGGTCATGAATACCATCTAAGGCCGTGCAACCACTCACAGAAATGAGGATTATAACTGACATGAGTGCTTCTGTTTTAATTGATGTTACAACATATGATAAAGAAATTGAAAGAAAACACAAATATCTATACAAACACATTCTTAACAAAATATAACAGAAGTACTTGTGTCATCAATAGTTATCATATGTAAGTTTGAGATACTAGAAAGATGTCCCCCAAGGGACAATGCCACTATTCTAAATTTACAATGTGTTTGTGATTATACAAGAGATAGTTATATCATGTTAGGCATAATTATGACCTGGTTACATACATATAATGCACTTGTGATTGTGCATGGGATATTCTATCTGGGCATTATTATGACTTGGTTATTGTTTTTCATTTGGAAACTAATCATGACATAAGGAGACATGATTGTGTTGTCAACTTGACTATATCTAGAATGAACTACAATCCAGAAATGGGGGATACACGTGTGATCCACATTTTGAGGCTGGAAGACACAGGCTTTTGACCTGGATCTTGATGCAGGGTGACACACTCCCTTAATCCAGATCTTTTAATGTGGGCCACGCCTTCTGCTGGGAGCCAATATAAGGACAATGGAAGAAAGGCTTCTTCATTCATTCTTTGCTGCTTGGCCTGGCCTTGTCAGCACACCCATTCCTTCCCTGGCATTGGCGTCTGCTTCTTCAGGATCCCTGCAGTGCAGAAGACACACCCAGCCTCGTGGGACTGAACGGTACTGGGCTCTTTGGACTTTCCATCTGCACCCTGGCTCCACACACCCTGCAGCCTGAGCAGGGAAACACCTCACGCTGCAGGAACGGCTTCCACTCACCTGCTCATTTCAATAAATTCCCAGAGAGAGGTTCATTCTGCAAATTCTGAGACTCTAGAGAACCCTGGCTAACACACGAAGCAGTAGCTTTCCTTCTGAGTCCTACCTTACTGGACAAGAACTTGAAAAGAGTCAAGAAGCTGTACCTGATCCAGGTAGTCCCCGTGCTCAGTCCCAAGGGTAGAATTATATGGCTGTAGAATTGTACAGCCAGCTCTTACATTAGATGCCTGACCCACGGCAATAAGGCAAAACTCAAGGCTTGGGCTTGTTAAGTTGTAAGAAATGGAGTTCGTTAAGTCACGGTTTGCTGTGAGAAACTGTGTGGTAAGACAAGACCTACAACCCCAGAGCCAGGAAGAATCATCAGACAGGCTCATGGTGGAAAGCCAGTGAAGGCGGCTCAGAGACTGGGCTCTGTCTCGGTCCTGGCTCCGTTCACCACGCAGCCTGAGTGGGCAAACATCTCACGCTGCAGGAACTGCTTCCACTCACCTGCTCATGGTCTTAGGCCCTAGCTAGCTCTGCCTGTGCCTCCCAAAGTGCTCCTGGCTTCCTGGTTTCTGATCCGCCCTCTCCTAGTCACGGCTTTATTTCATGAGATACAGCTGTGTTATTCAGGGTTCTCCAACAGAACAGTTGACAGAATGCAAATACACACATATGGAACTTATTAGCTTAGCTTATGGCTGTGGTCCGAGTGGTCCAGCAACGGCTGTCTCCTGAGAGAAAGGCTGAATCTGGGGTTGTTCGCTCCACGAGAATGGATGCCCCAGCAGTCCCAGTCTGGTGCTGGAGTCCCAGCGAAGTCCTAGCTTAAGATTTTTCAATCTGCATTGGAACCCTGAAGAAGCAGGTTTTAACACCAGTGAAGGAATGGTTCATCAACAGGATAGGTTACCTTGCCCATGCGACTAGGGACAAGCAGGCAAAAAGCAAAAGCTTTTCTTCTTCCAAGCCCTTTTATGTGGACTGCCACCAGGAGGTACGGCCCAGATTCAGGGTGGGTCTCCAGCTCAAATAATCCAACCAAGAAAAGTCCCTCACAAGTGTGCCCAGCTGCTTGAGTTTTAGTTAACTCCAGATGTAGTCAAGTTAGCAACCAAGATTATCCATTAATGGCTGACCCACCATTAGTCAACGGCATATAAGGGCTAAGATGTAGGTTGCAGGTCCGCAGGATGGGCCACCCAATGTTTTCATCCTTGGAATGGGGAGATGAGGACAGAAGCCGGACAATACGGCTGCACCACCAAATGAGAGGGGACGAAGGGAGAGGGAAATGGGTATTAGAGGAGGCAACAGCTAAACCTTTAGCTTAGCCTGAATGTAGCCCCCGGAAGTCACCTCCGAAATCCCCAGATACATGGAGGACTCCCCAGGGCTCAGCCCATGGATGACGCACTATCTCCAAAGGCCCTGCACATCACAAGGACCTTGAGACTGAATGGGGTTATGGAACAAAACCTTGGTTTCTCTCTGGTTCACCCTGGCTAGAGGGCTTGGTCCCTTGTCTCTAGCCTGGCTCCATATTCCACCTTGGGTCCCAGGATGCCTGAAGCCCCTCCCGACCTGCACACTGGCAAGCTTTCCCGCCTGTCTTCCACAGATTCACACGGGAGGCAGCACAGGACTGTGAGGTACGGGGACAGTTCATCCCCGCAGGTACAGTGCTCGAGATAGCCGTGGGTGCCCTACACCATGACCCAGAACACTGGCCACACCCTGAGACCTTTGACCCCGAAAGGTGAGTGAATACTGTCCAGAAACAGGGGTCCCTGAGGGATGTGAGTGTATGGGATAGAAATTTTACCATAGAGATAACAGCTATGGGCAAAGTCGTCCTCAAATGAAGATCACAGCAACTCAGACAGACTGTGAGGTACCATTTCCAAAGGAAAAATGGAACCCAAAGATCTAGCATGGCGGCGCTGATGCAAACAAGAATCAGCGTGACCCAGGAGGCAGGGTTGGTTTCTGTTTGCTTTGGTTTTACTTTTTTAAGAGATCATTCCTAATTATGGGTGGGGAGAGGTGCGTGTGTGAACATGTGCACACTGAATGTGGGGACCTATGGAGTCCGGAGGAGTGTCAGGTGTGAGCTGCCCAACATACATACTGGGAACCAAACCCGAGACCTCTACAAGAGTGTACGTGATCTTAACCGCTGAAGCGTCTCTCCACCCTGCGGGGTTACATCCTGTGTGTGCACAAGAAAGCAGCGAACACATTGCTTCCATCCAGTCCATTCCTATCAGCATAACTGCCTGCAACCCTAACTCCGTGAGAGAGATCTGACGGGCTCGGACACGGACCTGGTCTGCTACGGGCTTCGTTTCTAGGCCATGTGGTATAAGAAACCTGGGTATAAGCGCCCTCACACCCTGCTCCTTCAGAGTCACTTTCCTCCTCCTGGCCCACCGGGGAGGCTGGTCAGGAGTCACTGTGTTCTCCATCTGAACCCAGCCCACCTCGACAACGTGCCCATGGGCTGCGAGACTCAGGTAACTAACAACCCACAGCACAGCAGGTCCCGCAAACACGGTGAAGGTTCATAATCAGAAACTGCAGCTGAGGGCTCACAGCATTCGTGGCAAGACAGCCTGAGGTGGTAAGAAGCAAGCCGGCCATTTGCAGATTGGTGACTGTCACCTCCACAGAGCTGGGGATGAGATCTAAAAGCAGGCCCAGCCATTCCAACTTCAGTCCAAATCTGGAGGCTCCCAAGGACTCAAGTGTCCCACATTCTGACCAGCAAAGCCAGGGCGGTGGGGAGGTAGCAGCAGGAAGGCCCCTGGGATGCGGCCAAAGTGCCTAGGAACTTTGCTGAGGAAGAAATGAGAGGCTCTGTGGTCCGAGGGGAGGGGAGGCATGACAGGTCAGAGTGTGCTGGTCAAGCCTTAGGAGTCTGGATTATCTCTGGCTTCATACACACACACACACACACACACACACACACGCACGCACACACACACGCACGCACGCACGCACGCACGCACACACACATGTATGGATAATGAGGTGTTTAGGGTGCACTCACCTGATTGAATGGAGCAGTTTCTGGGATTGGGCAGGACAGTGCTGAGAAGAGGGACCAGAGCATGGTGGTCCCAGGCCACCAGCTACCCAGAACCTTGAGGACAGTCCTGGACTGATGGAGGGGATTCCAGATGAAGGGGTCACTCAGCCAGAAATGAGGCTTTTATATCACACGTTTACATTACGACTCACAGCAGCAGCAAAGTTACACTTGTGAAGTAGCAATGAAATGAGTTTACGGTTGGGGTCACCACAGTATGAGGAACTGTATTAAAGGGTCCCAGCCGTAGGAAGGCCGAGAACCGCTGCTCCAGAGGAGCAGGTGTCTCAGGCTGACGTTACATAACCTTCACCTGACCCATAGGTTCACAGCAGAGGCCCGGCTGCAGCAGAGACCCTTCACATACCTGCCCTTCGGAGCTGGCCCCAGGAGCTGCCTCGGGGTGCGGCTGGGGCTGCTGCTGGTGAGGCTGACACTACTCCAGGTCCTACACAAGTTCCGCTTTGAAGCCAGCTCTGAGACTCAGGTGAGGGTCTGGTGTTCCGGGGGGGGGGGGGGGCCACCCTGCTCCCCTGCCCCAGAGTAGGTCAGCCTCCGCTTGGGTTGGGTTGGTCCCTCTCCTCGGGAGGGAGGGATGCCCCATCTCTCGATCAAAGATTATAAGAGCAACAGGAAAGCCCGCAGCCTGCATCTCGTCCCACACGTGAGGGAGGCAGATGAAGGCTGTGCTCATTGTGTCCTCATTAGCATCACCCCCCGGTACAGCAGCACATAAAGCTGTCACGGCTGCCCCAAAGGGTTCGGGACGCTCAGCTTTCCCTACAGAAGCCGGGGTCTCGTCTCTCAGCCCACAAAACGATTTCCACGAGCCGTGCTTCAGGCTAGGCTCTGACAAATACTCTAACTTACTCTATTTCAGGCTCCACTTCAGCTAGAATCCAAATCTGCCCTAAGTCCCAAAAACGGAGTCTACATCAAGATTGTGTCACGTTGACACAGAAGGCAAGTGGAAAAGAAAACAGACACCTTGTGATGACGACATCTGCAAATGTTTGGAGGGCACCCAGGATTCAAACAAAAGCCTCTTGTGGAGATGAAACTGTTTAAAGAAATAGACATCTTAGGGTGATTAAAAGGGTACGTTGCACACGACCATGTCATTTATGTCCTAATTCCTGAATGTTCAATGTCTGTCATGCTTCATTTTGTCAGTGGGGTTCCACACATGGTTTTCTTGGGACTGAGGTTAAACAGAAAGGTCATTTTGATTAAAATGTGAGTATGGCATCAAAGGAAGTCCCGGCCTCGGGATGGTGCAGGGGAAACAGGGGCATGTAGCATGAGTTCTACATGAATTCTAGGTCTTAAAAATAGCTCAGAGTCAGATAAAGGGGAAAATGCTGAAAGATCAGAGAGATGAAGGAGCAGCCACAGCCACACCTTACCTCGATAACTTCCCAGCCAAAAAGAGATCGAGTTCCTGTCTCCTCCCAACTTATCACTTCCTGTCTGTCTGTACAGACCTCCAGACCTCTATGGTTAACTAGTGGCTGGCTCCGCCCTCTAACCTTCGGGCAAGCTTTGTTAGAGTATAAACAAGGTATCAGTACAGGGACACTTGGAACAGGTGCTGATGGCACTGGCATGGGCTTTTTTAGCTTCTCATGATGAATGGGTTTCAGAGAATAATGTGTATGGTCACTCAGCCTCATTATGCTTTGACTTAGTAAGGGCAGAAGAGATTTACTGGAAATTTTCACAGGTTAAAGGATCTTTTTCTTTAAAGAGCACACTGTTGGCTCTCTTGATGCTTGCCCAGGGGTTCAGACTCATTGGAGAAAGCCAAACATTCTTGGAGACCTACAGGCCTCCCTTACGTCCCAGTTTCTGACCGCTTAGCCACTGCAGGAGGCCCAACCAAGACACGCAGGAAGCTGCTGAAGGACAGTCCAAGGCCGGTACAGGCGGGGTGAGCATCTTAGGAAACATGTTAGAATGATGTCTGGATGAAGGGCAAAAACATGTAGATGGAACTGATTAGAAGGGTCTGTGGGGAGCTAGCTGGGATATAACTGGAGATTTTGTGAACATGTTTCCTGCCTAAGTGTTATTAGTGTTGGGCATGAACAGTAGGATGTAAACATGGCTGGGAAGGAAACTGATGACTCAACTGCGAGAAGGGATGGAAGTCCAGTGATTCCAACAGTCCTGTCTGAAAACAGGGATCCCTGTTCGCAGCAGGTGGATGAATCCGTGGACAGCCTTTCCTCGCAACCCCACACAACCAGGCAACTGCTCCTGTGGCTCCACGCCCTCCCACGCACTGCCAGTGCAGAGTGGCCTCTACGGCACTCACAGGACCAGACAATGCCCGCCCCACCCTCCAAACTACCACAGCAGGACCAAGAACTCAAGCAAAACACGACACACTTTTAGGAGCAGTCAGGGTGTGATAGAGCCACGGAGCACTCAGGGAAACCACGCTGTCTGCAGCTCTGGGGCAGACCCTAAAGTGGGGGCTTAGCTTTCTGGCCATTTAACTTAGCTCTCTCTGGACTGATTAGTAACATTGCCCTGTGTAAGGCCACTCCAAAGACGATAAACTAGTTAAACTGCCTTAGATTTGATCACCACAGGACATGCCAATAGCATACCTCTTTAAGAGGCCTCCCTGCCAGCTTGAACCACACAAATATGTTCAGACACAAAAGCATGTGGAGAACATGTTCTAGATTTTGTGGGACAAAACCTTCCTAATCAGTAGGAAAGAAAAACAGTACAAATATACATGTGAACATGTGACCACATTGCTAGGGCCCCTCCTAGGACCTTGGAAGAGGTGACAAGTGAGGCACCCAGACTCTTGCTATGGTATGAATTTTTCTCCCTCACAACCCATGTTAAATTTGGTCTGGGGATGTGGGCTCTTTAGGAGGTAATTAGGCTTAGAGAAGGAAACCCTCATTAGTGAGATTAACATCCTTATATAATAAAGGGCTTTTATTATATAAACTATATATGTATATATGTATGCATACATACATGCATATTATGAGATAGAGACCCTTCTGCCTCCAAAGTTACTGTGAGAAGATGGCCAGCTATGAGGAATGACCCTTAACAGACCTTGACTGTGAACTTCCTGGTCTCCAGAACCTTGAACAATGCCTAGTGTCTTCTTTAAAACCACTGTTTATAACAGTTTGCTTTATTAGCCTACAGAACTAAAATAACCCCAACACCCAGGGAAGGGCCTGCTGCCTATCCAGTTGTCTTCATTAATAGACACTGAAAAATGAACGCCAGCCTTCATCTGCTTCAGATAGTCTTTTATTTCCATACTCTTATGTGACATTTGCAGCACAGGTTATTCAGTTTCTTTGGGACATAAAACCCACACCTGGAAACTGTCAGCAATGCTTATGGGATTTGGGTACAGGCACTTATGGGCCAAGCCCAGGACTCAGGGGCACTCATCTATGTCTCCTGTCAGGGGGAATTGTGCTTCTCTTACACCAAGAATTGCCTGGGTTAGCGCCAGAGCAGTGAAGTGACAGTGACGCCCGAGGCCCTCCGTGTAATCTCCTTCCCCAAAGGCCACCATGCCACTCTGACACGATGGGCCACAAGACCCTCCAAAACCAGAATTGTTATACAGACATAAACAATTAAAATCCATAAAACGTGTAGAAATTCTGTGCTTATTGTTAATAAACATCAAAGTCAGCAAAGAGTTAAAAATATAATACTAATATTACTAAAAGACAAACTTGAGCTCACAATCACTACTGGTGAGATCATAAGCCAACCTGAAAAGACCTAAAAGCTAAGGATTAAGATAGTAGCTTCAAGTCAGGCCTGGCAACATAGGCTGTAATCCCAGCTGCTCAGGAGACTGAGGCGGAATGCAATCTAGCACAACTCTGCCTCATAATAAAACCATTTAAAAGGCGGGGAGTGTCGCTCAGTGGTAGAGGGCCTAGCAAGCGCAAGCCCATCCCCAGCACTAGGGGAGAGGAAAAACAACCCGGAAAGAAGAATGTAACTTCACTGAGAAGCCACATTAAATAAGAGTTCATTAAAAGTTGTGTTAAAAAGACTTTCCAAACAGCTCCACAAAGGCCTACTGCATCCTGGCCACGCTCATTGCCGGCTGGTGAACAAGGAGCCCAGCGCAACGAAGATGGAGGGGGCAGCCGGGGGCTTGGAGGAAGTGGAGTATTGGATGAGGTACTCAGGGTAGACTTGATGCTTCTCAAAAACGACAAAGATGGTTGGGTCGGACATGCTGTTCACGCAGCTGTCATAGAAGGCATTGCTCTGGCCTTCCTTGGCTGGAGGGCGGACGAAAGAAGCACTGCCCCTGACGAAGTCTCCCACCAGCACCCGGGCCAGGAACATCGTGTGGGAATGTGTGTCGGACTTGCTGTAATGGTGGGAATAGGCAGCATCTCTTGCAAAGTAGCTTCCTGAAACGATAACACAGGCTCCACAGGGCATTGGAAGAGCACAGCCCACCCTGGCCATGAGCCTCAGCAGAGTGCTCGTTCAACACCACAGCCCTCTGCCACTCCAGTTCTCTACCTTCCTTGTCCTCCAGGAGGACGCCAACATCTGTGAGGTGGGGCACCAGGATGCCCCCTACTCAAACCATTCTCAGTCCCGAATCCACTGAAAGCCTAGAGTCTGTCAAAACTTAGTCTAGACTTCAGTTTCCCACCTATAAAATGGGGCTGCCCCACCCAGCTCAGGTAGCATGAAAAATGAGTAACGTTCCTCTTACTGAACCACTCACCAGTAACCCAACATACAAAACAATGGTTCTTCTCAAATGGGCCCTAAAACAAGCTGCACACTCTAAGTCTTCATCAGTTTCCAATCCCACAGGTGTCCATCAGACTGAAACTGATCATCAGGTAGTCCACGCATTAAAGTAAGGCAAACAGGTTCTTTTTGGGTTTTGTTTCTCGAGACAGGATTTCTCTACATAGCCCTGGCTCTCCGGGAACACATGTAGACCAGGATGACTTCAAACTCAGAGATCCACCTGCCTCAATTTCTGAGTACTGGAATTAAAGGTGTGTGCCACCACATCTGGACAAAAAACAGATTCTTGAATTTTCTAAATTTGGTTACCACACGAGAAGCTGCCTCCTTAATGAAGGCTGAGAGGGAACCACAGATGCCAGCTACTTGAAAATGGTTCAGAAAATAAAAAGATAAAGCCAACATGGCAACATGTTAAAATTGAGGAATGTGGATAAAATTTATGCAAGAATCATAATGCATACATGTGTATATACACTTATAAACACGTAGCTTGCAACTTTTCTGAGTTTGAAATTACTATCAAGTAATGTTTTAAAATAACAGAAAAATGCCTAGAGAATTCGCATGCGGCAGATGGAATGACTGATTTCTATTCTAGGGTGTCAGTAGGCATAGTCCAGGGTGCTCAGGTTAGAAAGGCGATGCTCTCCACTCCCTGCTCTCACTACCTCTCAGAGACACCATTCTGCCAGAAACAAGGCCCAGTGAGCAGGACTGCCACGCCATCCGTTGACTGAGCTCTCAATCGCACACAACGGAGCACTGCCAGCTCGGGGTTGAGCTGTCCCCACAGAGGCACATGGACTGGCGGGCTCCTCCTGTGGCCTCTGTGAGGCCATCTTTAAGCAGTTTCCCAGCTACCCCGGCCTTACCTTTGCCATAGGATGTGCCATGTAGACCACAGACCCGCCAGTCAAAGTTCTGCTGGCAGATGGCATCCACAAAGCTGGTGTTTGTGCCATGGAACAGCTGCCTCTCATCTACTCCCTTCCCTCCGTTCTGCTTCTGCATCTGCCCTTTTTGCCTAGAATGGTAGACGCATGCTTACTGAAAGAAGAAGGTGTTGGCCAGAGGACAGTCTCCTGACCCATTTTCTTATTATTAAAAAAAAAGGCACAGAGCAGAAGGAGGTTATGGCTCCGCTGGCCAAGTCCTGGGGGCTTAAGCCCCAGAGTGCAGAATGGAGAGAAGAGCAAAGGAAGCTCCCCCCCACAGCAGAAGGTTCCAGAAGCGGGACAGCTCTTAGAAGCAGGCATGGGTCCTTCTGCCACAGCTCCTGAGTGGAAGTGAAGCGGGGAAGCTGGGAACTAGAGACAGCTGTT